TGCAGGTGGCTCGGCCAAAGCCGAGCCACCTGCAGGTGGCTCGGCCAAGGCCGAGCCACCTGTGGGTGGCTCGGCCAAGAGCCGAGCCACCCACAGGTGGCTAGGCTCAGAACTGTGCAAATGCACAGTTCTGAGTGCCTATAAATAGGCCAAGGCATTGTTCATTTCAGAGGTTGGATTTTGGGAGGGTCGAAGCTCTGCCGGATTGGAATCTGAGATCTAAAAAAGATTGGAGCTTTAGAAGATTGAAGACTTGGACTTTGAGATCCGGTTCTCGGCGATCATCCACGCCAAACAAGGCAAGTGTTCGAGAGGGACCGGATCTGAGATCTACACGATTTTCCTCCGGATCTAAGCTTGGTTCTTAGATCCCGAGAAGAGTCTCGAATTCGCTTGGTCGATTTCGACACTTGGGCTACTATTTCCTTGGTGAATTAGTACCCCACCCGGCTATTATTTCCTTCGTGAGATAATACCCGTCATATCGTGTAGATCCGACCGGATCGAGATCACGCGGTGGTCCACGGCAAATAACCCCGGCGCAGGCAAAGAACCCACACAAAGCGAGTGACCGCAAAACAGGAGCTCGCGATTCGTTCGACATAAAAGGAAATAAATTGTAATCTTTCTTTTTTGTATTTTGATTTTCATTGTAACCGGATCTTATAAAAAGACCGGATCTTTGTAACGCATAAAGTTGTTAACTAAGATGGCAATGATATCAATGAAGAAAGCAACGATTTTTCCCGCGAACAACTGACGCATCAGCTTCATTAGTTGGTCTCGTGACCGAAGCATCCAACGACATTCGAAACCCTAGGGTTAACGCCGGTCAACGCGTAACCCTAGGTCAACGCCAGTCAACGCGTTGCGAGCAAAAATTCAACGTACGACGTTCAAAACCCTAAGGTTAATGCCGGTCAACGCGTAACCCTAGGTCAACGCCAGTCAACGCGTTTCGAGCAAAAATTCAACGTACGACGTTCAAAACCCTAAGGTTAACGCCGGTCAACGCGTAACCCTAGGTCTACGAGTATAAACTGCTTCTTAAATACTCCGAAAAGTATACGAGTATAAACTGCTTCTTAAATACTCCGAAAAGTATACGAGTATAAACTGCTTCTTACTCCGAAAAGTATACGAGTATAAACTGCTTCTTACTCCGAAAAGTATACGAGTATAAACTGCTTCTTACTCCGAAAAGTATACGAGTATAAACTGCTTCTTACTCCGAAAAGTATACGAGTATAAACTGCTTCTTAAATACTCCGAAAAGTATACGAGTATAAACTGCTTCTTACTCCAATAAGGTATATGAGTATAAACTATTCCCTATTTTTGGTTTGAGAAGTTTCTAGAGAGTATTTTTCTAAAAAATATTCTTAAGGATAACTCAAACAACACAACGCCGGACAACGCGTTGCACATAAAAACTCGACGCCAGCAATCGATGGTCAATTCTACGAGCTGAAGATCAAAAATCAGGAAGCGACTTCAAAGTTCAAAATTCCGACAAACGGTCAGACAATAAATGCAGCACCGTAACTCTTACAGACATTCGACAAAGCACCGAAAAGCCTGGAGAATTGAAGGAATCAAGAACGGAAATCATTACAAGGTCTTATTACACCGACTGAAGGTGGGAGACAATCATATCCAAAGTATTCCAGACTCTTCTATAAAAGAACGAGACTGAAATACTTTGTTGGGGGTATCTGTAGGCATATAAAATTGCTTATAGGTCCCTTAGCTCAGCTCAGTACAAACCGACAAACCAACGAGGCGACGAGATCGACGAATCGCATCAAGCGACGGAATGCATCCATACACGTGCGGGATCAAGCCAAGTGTTCGAAGAGTCAACGAGTCATCCAACCAAAGGCATACTCGGACGAATGACGATCGAATCAAGATCGGTTTCGGACTCCAACTCAGAAGCGGATTTACTGCCTAATCGGGATCCGGATTTACTGCCAAATCAGATCAGCAAATCGAATCCGAACCTATCAACTACAAAACCGGAAAACGGGCACAAAGAGGCAAAACGACAAACACCTGGAGGTCGGCTCACCGAGCCACCAAGGAGGCTCGGTGGCCGAGCCACCAAGTGGTGGCTCGGCCGAGCCACCTAGGTGGCTCGGTGGCCGAGCCACCTTGGGGTGGCTCGGGCCAAGGCCGAGCCACCCCTTGGGGTGGCCGAGCCACCTCAGGGTGGCTCGGCATGAGCCGAGCCACCTTGAGGTGGCCGGCCACCTTGAGCTGGCCACACGTGCACACGGGCACGGGCACAGTAACGAGAGCCTATAAATAGGCCAAGGGGTTCTTCATTTCAAAAGGTTGGAAATTTTGGAGAGAGGCGAAGCCCTGCTGGATTGGAGACTCGGAACTTAAAAAAGATTGAAACTTTGGGACTTCGGGGACTCACTCCTTCAGATCTGGTGCTCGGCGATCATCAACGTCAAATAAGGCAGGTGTTCGAGAGGATCAGATCTCAGATCTACGCAGGCATACTCCGGATCTAAGCTTGGTCTTAGATCCCGAGACTTGGACGATTGTTTCCTTGGTGAAACAATCCTCCCCGGCTATTATTTCCTTGGTGAAATAATACCCGTCGTACTGCGTAGATCCGACCGGATCTAGATCTCGCGGTGGTCCACGGCAAATAACCCCGGCGCAGGCAAAGAACCCACCAAGCGAGCGACCGCAAAACAGGAGCTCGCGATTCGTTCGACACAAAAGGAGAAAAGTTGTAATCTTTGTTTATTTTTATTTGATTTTCGTTGTAACCGGATCTTATAAAAAGACCGGATCTTTTGTAACTCAAAAAGTTGTAACTCAAGATGACAATGGAATCAATAACAAAGAAAGCAACGGTTTTCCCCGCGAACACTTTGTAATCACAAATTTATTGGATTCTTTTGCAATCCTATAGCCAGCTCTAAGGAGAAGAGATTCACTGATCAGGTTGCGACAGAGAGAAGGAACATGATGAACACCTTGCAGATTCAGAACTTTCCCAGAGTTCATGGTGAGCTCTATGCATCTACTTCCTATTATTTGTTTGATGGAGTCATCTGCTAAGCTTATGCTTCCTCCACGTGATTCCTGGTAAGTAGAAAACCAAGAGAGATCATTGCAAACATGGATATTAGCTCCAGAATCTAAGTACTAATCAGTGGAAGAAGGAAGAGAATTCACAAGATAGGATGAAGAGGCTAACCTGAAGGAAGTTGGATTTTCTTCAATCATATTAACTTTGTTGGATCCATTTCCTTTAGGAGAAGGTTTAGCCGGTTCCTTATTCCGAAAGAAACAGTTGGGAGCCATGTGGTTGTTCTACCACAGACATAGCAGAACATTCCATCAGACTTATGGCTGGAAGAGTTAGGATTGAATTTGGAAGAAGATTTGTTGAAATATTACTGGTTTTTCTTGAATTTCTTCCCTTTGGGTTTGAAATTCCTAGATTTAGGCTTATCCTCTACCAAGTTTACTTTAGCTTTTGATTCGGTCTTGGTTTTGGAATTTTGCCTATGCTGGTCTTCAATACGAATAGTCTTGAGGGTTTCGATTAAGCTTAGACCTCCTTTCTTGTGCCGGAGATCTCCAGCAAATCTAGATCAGGATGGAGGGAGTTTTATCAATCAGACAGAAAACTTTATAGTCATCAGTAAAGGTGTTTCCTTTTGATTAGAGGTGACGGAGGAAATCTTGGAATTCATGAATTTGTTCATTAATGGGTTTTTCATCAACCATCATGAACTTATTGAAGGAGGAGGAGGTGAAACACAGAATTCCGACCATATTCTGCTTCAAGAGCATTCCATAGGTCCTTAGCACTTTTAAACTCATAATAAATATCATAGAGGTTGTCCGCATGTGCACTAAGAAACCTATGACAATAATGATAGTTGATTTCTTCTGGTTTCATGGAGCTAGAAAAGGAGCTAGCGCCAGAACCAGAAGTGAAAGGAACAGGTTGTTCAGGATCAGGAGTCAAAGGTTGAGAACTGCTAGTTGAAGACTCAGGAATGTCTATAGCAGATAAGAGACCTAATGTGGTAAGCCAGTATCTCATCTGATTAGCCCATAGTTTATAATTAACACCGGTGAAATTTTCAGGTTTGACACTTTTGGAATGATTAGGGTTAGCCATAAGTCCAATTTGAGTTTACTAGTCTAGATATTTGGTATCTGAACGGGTAAATGATTTGTCAATACCACTCAACTAGTAACTTAGAGGACTATGACTTAGGATATGAACTATAAAAAATCTGCACTAGAAATAAAAATTTTAGAACTAATTTGCACTAGATTTGAAAATTTGGCAGAAGATAATGATTGCAATAAATAAAAGTTTTTTTAAAGAACAATAACCTTTTTATGCAATAAATAAATTAGTAAAATATAATGAACAGTAAACAATATCATTCATGAATAGTAAAGTTTTTTATTTTTATTTTTAACAAAAAAATAAAAGAACAATTAATTAAATTCGGGTGAACAGTAAACCAGAAGAACAATAATATTTTTTTAACAAAAAATAATAAATTAATTAATTAAAACAATAATTTTAGATTATATATTAATGGCAGGAAATTTATCTCTATCTTCTAGATTGCTGTCAAAAATGAAAACAAATAGTATAAAATCTGAAATTAAAGGTTAGAAAAATCAGGCCCGAACGGGTGTAGTCGTGTTTTCACTGTCCTAGAAGATAGAGGACCCGCTTATCGTCCTGACGCAGTCGATCCTCATCCCCTAGCGGTAAAAGCCCCCCAGAAAACGGCCGACCTCTGTACTCAGGTGAGAGTAGCAGAGCTTCTGCTCAGACGAAGATGGTTGCCCGAAAATTATAGGTAAATAGTAGCAGAGCAATTTTGAGAGAATGAAAGAGGCTCTCCAAATTTGAGGAAAAGAGAGAAGTCTTCTTGTTGCTGTGTCCTTCTCCGAATGAGCTTCAGCTCCTTATATAGCTCCTAGAGCTTTTAACCGTTGCTGATAAACCGCGCATGTTACACAGAGATCCCGCGTCCGTTATTACGTTTCCATAACTCCCGCAACCGTTACAAACTTGTATAAAATGTGTAAAAGATTAAACTTGAGAGGCAAAACCGCGTGCGTGTGCGGTGTGGTGTAGCCATGCTCGTGCGTGCGGCGACGTGGCGAGGCGTGGCGTGCGTGCGCGCGCGTGTATTATACAAAGCCCAAGCAATATAAAGCCCAAAAACACTACTCAAGACCCAATATGAAGTGAAGCAATATAAACCTCTTGGACTTCCTTTCATTTTCCAATGTGGGACTATTCACAAAGGCAAAATTTGTCTTTTCATGAACAAAATCCAACAATTGAAACTAGGGCATGGTCTTGTAAGACTATTAAATCGAGCTTGCTATTCAGAAGAACTCTATCGTAGTGAGGAAACCCCTTTATGAGAAGGAAGAGTGGATGTAGGATTATTTATCCAAACTACTATAAAATCTCGTGTGTCTCTTGTTAGTTGGTTTTGTGTTGATACTATTGCTAATTGTCATTTATCGCTGTAATTTAATTTTATTTTGTTGTATATTCTATGTTTACTTGAAAAATGATAACCAATTCTATTCATCCCTCCCCTCACTCCCCCTCCCCCACCCCTTTCTAGGCTTGCATATTAGATACAACACCCAAACCTAACTTGCACTTAAATACCCCAAATGTTGAATCTACATCATAAAACTTAAGATCTAAAAACCATATAGCCATGATTAATTCAAAGAGATTAACAAGGATCTAAAAGAGCGGAAGCTTATACCTGAATCCATTGCTTGATCTTGATTTTGGGTGTTGGATCTTCTAACCTTAGGGTTCTCTCTAAAACCGAATTTCTCTAGCTAGATGGGGGTGTAGAGAATTAGAGAATGTAACCCTAGGTTAGGGACCATAACCCCTTATTTATAGATGTTGTACTTTTGTAATTTAGCCCCTCAATAAATTACAATTACAACCTGGTATCTGCACATATGACCCCATGATTACATTTAAATACCAAATTAACCCAACTTAATTGATCACTTTAGTGGGTTATCCTGAAAGATAGCAATACACATTGATTAATCATATGTGCCCACAAATAGATTTATTAGATTAAATCCAACAATCTCCCACTTGGGCACCATATGATTCCTTAAACTGTGTATAACCTTATGAGCTCAAAAATTGCTATCACTGAAATGGTATTTCCGAACAATCTCGTCCATTGACTATATCAATATAGGATCAAAGCGGCCTTCGTCACATTTATCGTGACTCGACCCATCAATGGTCACATATACCAATACAATCAAACGACATAGATCAATCATGGATGTGCAGCATGAAAATTACATGCAATGTGATCAGTACATGTCTATTTTCAACTGGTCCTCCTTAGTGAGGTCAAAACCAAACATAATGTAACAGAGTGTCTTAACTGAAAACTTTATTCTGATCAGACAATACAAACAAACATAAAGCACCACAAATACAAACTCCCACTAAAACATAATATCCTCAAATAATACCACACCCATATGAGCAGTATGCTCATGAAAGACCTTAGGTGGTAATCCCTTAGTAAGAGGATCAGCTATCATGGAGTTTGTCCCAATGTGCTCTATGGATATCTGTCCACTCTGTACCCTTTCTTTCACAACCAGGAACTTAATGTCAATATGTTTTGACTTAGTTGAGCTCCTGTTGTTATTGGAATACATTACTGCAGATTTATTGTCACAATATAACCTTAGTGGTCTTTCAACATTTTCCAAAATGCGCAGTCCCGTGACAAAATTTCGCAGCCATATTCCCTGATTGGATGCCTCATAGCAAGCTACAAATTCTGCTGCCATAGTGGAGGAAGCTACTAGTGTTTGTTTGACACTTTTCCATGATATAGCTCCTCCTGCTAACATATAAATGTAGCCTGATGTAGACTTCCTGCTATCTTGGCATCCAGCAAAATCAGAGTCCGAATACCCAATGACCTCTAATTTCTCTGATTTTCTGTATGTGAGCATGTAATCTTTTGTTTTCTGAAGATACCTCATAACCCTTTTGACTGCTATCCAATGATCCATACCAGGGTTGCTTAAGTATCTGCCTAACATCCCAACAATGTACGCAATATCCGGACGCGTACATACCTGAGCATACATTAGACTTCCTACAGCCGAAGCATAAGGAATCTTCTGCATTTCCTGAATTTCAAGGTTACCTTTAGGGCACTGATTGAGACTAAACTTGTCTCCTTTAGCAACAGGGGTGTCACCTGGTCTGCAATCTTGCATGCCAAACCTTTTAAGTACCTTATCGATATAGCTCTTTTGTGATAATCCAAGAATACCCCGAGAGCGATCTCGATGTATCTGGATCCCTAATATAAAAGAGGCGTCCCCAAGATCTTTCATCTCAAAATTCTTTGATAGAAATCTCTTGGTTTCGTGCAACATGCCTATATCATTAGTGGCAAGCAAGATGTCATCCACATACAGAACCAGAAAAATATACTTACTCCCACTGAACTTGTGATATACACAGTCATCAACAATGTTCATCTCAAAACCGAACGAGATAACTATTTGTTGAAACTTATGATACCATTGACGAGGAGCTTGCTTGAGTCCATAGATGGATTTCCTTAATTTGCAAACCATATTCTTTGGGTCTCCTGACACAAAGTTTTCTGGTTGCACCATATTTCAAGTGGCCTGCGTACTTATTAGCCACCGGAACAACGAACCAAGTGATCTGCATGCCCGTCGACCACCGTCAAGCAATCCGCGCGTTCACAAAACATACAAAGCGAATCGGTGAAGCGTACCAGTCAGCGAAACGACGAAATACGCGTAAACGACGCAACAAGTCAAAACTTGAAAAACCAGAATAGCCGCTGGCGGCCGAGTCCGAGTCGCACCAAATCAGACTTGGCCAGGGCCAGTGGCTCGGCCTAGGGCTGAGCCACCATACAGTGGCTCGTACCGTTTTATCCGAAAACGCGTTTTGGCGGTTTTTGACAGGCTTTCACGAGATTTCTTCTGTTCCAGAGATTCCTAACTACCTAAATGTCATCTCTAAACGTAGTTATATGGTTGTTAACTAAAGATAATGCTGAATCCATCATTCTTATCCAAAAATCCCCCAACCGAAGCCTATAAATACAAGCTTAGGGGCTCATTTCTGGAGATTTGAAAAAGAGGGGGCGAAGTGCTGTCGAATTGGAGAGTGGAGCACGAATTTCAGAGAGTTAGCAAATCTTAGCGAAGTTTCTCAATAAAAAAAGTGAGAGTTCGAGAGATCTGAGACTTGTTTCCCCCTATTCCTCCAGATTTAA